ACTCATTAGTTGGGACCTGACTGAAAGACAGGCAGTTGGCGCAGGGTGTTAATTAACTGCCGGAAGGAGGGCAGGAGTAGGCAGGAGTGGAAGCAAGTGAGAGAAGCTGGCTACTGACTGTAAATCGTATCTAAATAACACCCAGGCTAAAGGGATACAATAAAGCAGGGGGGCATTAAGCACACCTGGAGTTGTGATGGTCAGTTACGGAGGATGAAAGAGACTTCCAGGGGACCACCCTGTGACAAGCGCCGAACACAATGGGCCCCAGATCTGAGTGAGACTTCCTAGGCACTACCAGGCTATAGGTGGTTAATAATAGAGCTGGTTGGAAAATGTGTTGTGCAGAGAATTGAGCTTTCAGTGAAAATTAAAAATTAAATTAAAAGCTGCTGGTGCCTCATGGGAGTTGCAGGTCGAGTGCCTCATGCTCCTATTCTCCTTTATAGGCGGGGCTCCTTGGTCGGACTACATCACCCATCATGCATGACAGCCTCCCCACTTGTTGAGGGGAGTAGGTGCATCATGGCAGTTGTGTGGCCACAGTGCATCATGGGAGATGAAGTCTGGCTGGGGAGATGTTTGATGGAAAATTTTTGACCCACCTTAGTTAATGATAATAAAAACCTGCTTGACCAGGGTTAGTGGAAATTTGGAATGGACAAGTGAGGTTGGGAAAGAGATGGCGGGAGAGCCCAGTCGCTTATCTCGCTGGCAGCGTGAGGAGCATGTCTGGGGAAAGGTGCAGGGGAGAGAGATTGAGGAGGTAAACTAGAAAAGGGGACAGGGACAGAAGTGAGGGGAACAGTAGGAGGAAATCAGGGACAGGAAATATAAAGGAGGAAAGTAGTATGAACAATGGAGGGAAGGAAAAGGCAGAAGTGATATAAGAGGATAGAGGGGGAGAGAGGTAAAATAGGGAGAGATGTTGAAAGCCATTGTGGAGAAAAATACACAGTGTAGAGTGGGGAAGATGTAGGTGGAGCCAGGAAAGGAAGGGAAAAAATAAATTATGTAGTTTTAAAATGCATTAGAGAGAGTGTTAATTGTCAATATCATCATTAAATTATTATTACACAGCCAATGCAACTGTTACAGGGGATGTGACTCTGGGGGTTGAGGGAGTCTGTGTGACTACTAGGCTTAGTTTTGGGGCTAGCAGGGGTTGAGTTTAACCTCTGTATGTGTGTATACTCTATATGTATGCACAGTTTTTATACAGCACTGTGTGATCTCTGTCCATTTTTTAACCCCCTGGTGCCTGGCAACGAAGGCATATTGTTTTAATGGCATGTCAGCAGAGGAAGATTTTTGTCTGTTACAGTGTGGCCTCCCCTGCTGAGACTACTGCCTGGCTGGAACGTGGTTAGGAATTGCAATTAGCATGACTAAATCCTGTGCAAAACTTGTAGCCGCCTGGCTTGTTTAGAGTAAGACTCCCTTTAATTGAGGACCTCGGTGCTGGAAATGGTATCCGGGGATCTTTAGTTAAGGTAGTTCAATGTGTGTGTGTGTTCAGAGTAGCACGGATACATGCACCTGCACTAAATGAGGTCCCCCACAACATGTAGATACTCATTTAGATTCACATGACATTTTGGAGAACAAAATGTGCTACTATCATTCCTTTGGAGACCACTTTTCTCACTCCTTTGAAGTTAGCTATGGATGGCTAGCTTTGTCTCTAAAACACTCTGGCATATTTTGGGAATCTCTTCTTGCATGGGATCAGGGAGGATTTTTGGTGTGCAGATAACTCCAAGTAATGAACATAATTCCCTCTTTCATTACTCGGAGAATAGCCTCCAAAGATATTTTGAGAAACACATAGTAAGAAGCAGGAACACATAGATACTTCCTTTCCTGAATGGAGTGATATTTCTCCATAGCTGTTGAAATTATGGGTGCATGATTTGCTAGATATTTCAATGGGAAAGAAAGTGTTCTGAGACTAGTTTCTTTATGCAGTTCTTTAGAAAGCAGATGTCCTTCATGCAGTGTCTCACAGTAAACACCGATACTTCAGCAGATCAAAGAGGTCACTAGCTTGTTACTAGGTGCACATACTGATCAACTCACATACTCTAAATCTTAAGCTTTTCCCTTCCTTTGTATTGTAATTGGCTGGAGTATGGTAGACAGGCAGCTGTTCACAAACACGTACACTCAGGTTTTCAGGTTACTTAGAGGTAAGGCCTCTACATTTCTGTGAAAGAGCAGGGAGCTTGAAATATATTCTGATTATTAACATACACATATGACAAGACCACACTGGGAGAGGACTTTGTCCCCTTCTATCGGCTGATCCACAGAATAGTTTAATGAGTCAGCTATAGCTGCAAGTTAGGGGAGTGACTCCTTTAGCTCCAGCAGCAAAGGCTCATTACATGCTGTAGGTCCTGGGTTCAAACCTGGGATGCCTCAAGTGTGATAGATTACACCAGCATCTCTCATTGTTTCAGAATTCCACAACAAAATGCAATGCATAAAGTGCAAGGGAAGGCATTGTGGTTTTGTAGCTGGATACACACAGCCATGGATTCCTTTGCTAGGTTCAGTGGGGGGAATGAGCAATCTGTTTGCCATGGAGATGCCACTACCAACATAGACACTGCACTAATCAGGTGCTTTTCCTCCTACCTCTTGCTGTTGGTAAATAAAGCTGCTCCTTGCAGTACTGGCTGATGTCTTCCAGGGCTGGCCAGAGGTGCAAGGGATATAGCTGTGTAATAGTTGCAGAGAGCAACAGGAGAGCAGCAGTGAGCAACTCTAGTGACATTTGTCAAGTGTCCCAATCCACAGCTCAGTGGAAGGCTTTCCTGGGTAAAAACTGATGAGCAAAGGCTTTTGGATCTGGCCCGAGTCCAAAGCTGGCAGTCATTCAGACTGGCTTAGTGTTGTATTTAAGAAGGGCCTTTTCCCAGTATTCAGTAAATACCACCGAGATTTTCATTGGCGTTCCATATTAAACATGCCTGGTGGATCCTCAGCTGGTGTACGTTGTCATGGATCCAATAGCTGTTATGGAGCTCTGACAATGTACACCAGCTGAGGTGCTCCCCCTGCATTCCAGTGTACGTTGTGTATTGAGGAAAGGGGGTGTGGCAGGCCCCCTGAGCATTACACGGACCTTGCTCTTTTCTCCTGCCTGGAGCACTGTTTCTTCCTTTGCTCTGGTGCCTTTTTGACTTGTTTGTTTGTGTCTGGGTGTATTTCCTCCGGGCACTGCCGCCTTTAGTTTTCTTACCAAACCCAATGAATATAGAATGGCAGTTTCCAAGCAGAGCTGATGGTTTCATACAAGTCTAAAATGGCTGTAGCTTGTAAAACCCAAGGCTCGGCCTGCTGTCTGGCTGCCTTTTTCCGATCACCAAAGGCACTGAGTGTTTCCTCCTGTGTTAATCTGCACTTTGGGAAGCATTCCAAAAGGCCATTTCTCCTCTACTCCATCAAGTCCCTCTTCAAAGCTCTCTTCTACTGAGACAAGCAATCAGCCATTCAATAAGGGTCAAGTTGAGAGGCTGTAGTGTAAATTGATGGGAGTTTATTATATACCTCTTTGTTTTTAAGTAATATATATAAAACTACCTATTTTAATTGTACTCCTCTGTTGCACGTTGAGTGTTGGCTTCTTAGACATATTTTATTACACTGTAATACACTGATATGTCTATCCTCTCCCTGACTATTTTGCTTCTTTGGTGTATCTCACTTCCACTTCCTTTCTGTCCCTTGTCTCTTTTAGAGAGTAAACTCTTTCACCCAGGGACTCTGTGTGTGTGTGTGTGCGTGTGTGTGTTTATACAGCCCCGAGCTCATCAGGGCTTGATCCCTAGTGGGGCTGTTCAGCACTCCTGCTATACAAATAAGAACACTTAGATTCATGACCTGTAGGGGATGTGTAGATGTTTGGACTCAGGATTCAGCCTGGGCTCTAGGATCCTGCAAGATGGGAGGGTCCCAGAGCTCGGACTGCAACCTGAGCCTGAATGTCTACACTGCAATTAAACAGCCCCACAGCCTGAGCCCTGTGAGCCTGAGTCAGCTGGCACAAGCCAGCCACTGGTGTCTAATTTCAGTGTAGACATACCTTTTGTTTTCCACAGTATGTTCCATTTTGGGGACCTCTGTGGAGTCTTTGTCCTCTCCAAGGCAGAATTGCTTCTTGAGAGCTACAGAAATGGGCAGACTCACAAATGGCACATTAGATGAGTTGAGGGACGTTGACCTTTTGAATTTACTTTGATGGCAAGTCCTAGAAAGATCTGTCAATGTAACTGAGAGATACGGCATGTCCCTTTCCCACCACCTGTGTGCCGGGGGCACTAGTGTCTGTCTTGTTGCATCCTTTTGGTTTCTGGCCAAAGAGGAAGAAATGAGATGTTCAAGAGGAAGTGGCTGTGATTAGGAAGAGGTTGAGGATCTGATTTCCAGAGCTGCTGAGCATTTGCATCTCCCATTGAATTCACTTGGAGTTGTAGGTGCTCAGTACCTCTGGGAATTAGATCTTACCTAAGCTATTCTCTGTGCTCTTGTCAAGTGGCCTTGGTGGCTCTCACTCCCTGTGGCAGGTTTCTCTTGCAACATGCTGCGTGGTATAACACACGGTCATGTACATGTTTCACTAAACCCTTACCTTTTCTAAATGGAGAGGCTGAGAAGCTATCTGCTGAGACACAGGGCACACAGGACCCATCCACATGTCCTGCGCAGGAATTGTCTTGGAAGCCTGCAGACCATATGCTGAACTCCTAGACAGGAGCAGGGAAGAGGGGGGCACGGCATACCATTAGTGCTCTCTAAAGGAGTCACTGGTGGCTATGAGAAGTGTTGTCAGGCTCATGTAGGTATGCCAGGGGAAGTCCATGAGTAACACTGACCAGTCCTGGCTGCTGGAGAACTCCAGGTTTGGCTTCACATGTTGTAAGCTAAAGTAGCCTTTAAAACTGCCCTACTTCTACAAACAGAGATAGGACACTGTATCTTTCTGCCTTTTTCAGCAATATCCCAAGTTGCACAGGACAGAGCAATTTCACGAGTAATTCCTACAATGAAAACCACTGCTGGGGGCCCATCAGCAGGATTAATGCTTACAGGATTTTTCTGGTGAGAATTTTTGGTGGCATTTACTGTAATTCCCTAGAAAGCAGAAGTTATTATGTTAAAGGAGTCAGCCATCAGTAATTATATTCATCCCCCTTTTGTGGTTTTTTTTCCCCTAACAGGCTGGCTTTGTTTTACTGATAGGACCTTTTGTATTCTTCTCCATTCAGAAGAATAAGTTTATTCAAATCTTTGCTACCATTGTATCCTTTTCAGGTAAGATGAAATACAAATAAGCGTTGGGATAATTTCAGGCTGCTGAGTGAGTAGAATTACTTATCTCTTGAAACAATAGCTGCATTTCCACCCTTACCCCACAAACCACACAAGGGTCATTTTAACGGATTTGTTTAATTCATATTTTGCCACTGATGTGCATGTCTTTCAAATGGTTTAAGCTCCATCCTGCATAGACTTCCATATGAAATAAGGCTGGTATTTTTAATGGGGCCTAAGACATTAGGGGCCTCATTCCCTTGGAAACTCAATAGGAATTGGGCACCTCCCTCCCTAGGTGCTTTGAAAGCTAAATACTTGCCAAAGGCTTTGCAGGATGGGGGCCCTGGTTTCTGTTGCGCCAAATCATGCAAGGACACATTTTAAAAAAGTACCCAGAAGCTTCCCATTTTGTGAGTAAGATTTAGAGCAGCGTTTCAAATTTATATGGAGCACAGGAATACCCACAATTACTATTAAAATAGCAATTACTAAAAAAGAGTTTGGAAGGTATATTAAACCTCATGCTTCATGGCTTATGCCAACCTCTATCTAACTATTAGGAGATAGTGCCCCAAGGGAGCAGATTAGCTCAGAACTGACTGCCCTTCTGTGATTTCTTGCATCTTCCTCTGAAGAGCGATGGTCACTGTTAGAGACAAAATACTGGACTAGGGGTCTGATCCAGTCTGGCAGCTCCTATGTATAATCTGTTGCTCTCTGTGGGAGTTGCTGGATGCTGAGCACTTTAGAAGAATCTGGTTATAGATAAGGTGCCTGAATTGCAACTGAGCTCTTTTGAAAATCTGGCCCCAGTTCTGTTAGATGAGACCTTTTGAAAAGTCTGGCCTAAGAGCCTGATCCAAAGTCCATTGAAATGAACGGAAGGGTTCCTGGATTCTGCTCTAAGCATGTGTGATTCAGAGCTAAGGAATATCTCAGAATTTAGCTGCAGACTGAGAAGAGGGAATCAAGATGGCTTATAAAAAAAAAAAAGTTCTACATCATTGATTATTTTTCCCTGCCAGCAGTTGTTGAAGCCATTTGTGATAGAAGATTGTGGGTCTGACAGAAAGGTCTGAGATCATGGGTAAATCCCAAATGAACCTGAACTTGCAGACACAATGTTATATTTAACTTACTTCCTCAAACTGTACTTGAATAACTGTGACTTGATGTCTCTGGTTCTCTTTCTGCAGTGATCTTTCTTCTTTTGTTTCCTAATACCTCTGGAAAAAAACCTTAATTTATCCCCCATTTATTGGCACAAGAAATGCAGGGTGTCCAGGGTATAGGGTCCCACTGAAGTCCATGGGGGAAAAAATATGATTGGCTTCACTGGGACCAGAATGTGGTCTGGTGTCAGGATACCTACAGGTACAGAAGAGAAGATCGTATGCTTACTGATAAACATATACCACACTGGCCAGTTCCATGTGTTATGGGAATAGGCTGTTCATTGAGACTCCAGAGCTTTGCATGATCCTGGATAGTTGTATTTTATTTGCTTGGGTTTTTGTGGCCAAACTAAAGGCTTTTTTCAAAACTATATTAAAAGTGTCTGTTATGGATATTCGTCATTCTTGTGATTGTGTGCATTGATACCAGTGTCAGCTGGTTGAGTTGAAGTACAGAGGAAGGATTATAATACATTTGAAACAGTATTGTCTAGCCACTCAATAAACGCACTTACCAGACAAGTACATGCATTTGAGAATGTTGGGGAGGGCTGAAAGACAGAGACCTGCCTCTTCTCTACAGCAGTTGACCCCTCTGGTCTGCTGTGGGCTTGGCAGCATCTCTGAGGATTTGAAGTCTGTTTGCATTCGGAAGTTTGCTCAGTTCTTTCATGCTACTCCTCTCAGATCTGTTCAGGAGCTGCTCCAGTTCCACATTTGCTTATTTAATTCTACGTACTCAGCCTTTCCCTGTTTGCATTGGCAGCACGAGGAGAAACACAGTTCTACTCATCATTATTACTCTTGTGTTTACAGATGACCGGATAGGGTCTTTTATAATTTATGGGCTAATTAACTTCACTTCACACAATGCCATTTTCAGGGGCTGGGTCTCCTACTCAGAACGTTGTATTATACATTAGGGGCCAGATCTTCAGCGGCTGTAAATCCTTGTCTCCAAAGCAAAGCTATTCGTGCCTTTACATTTGACTTTATATGAATGGGTAAGGAGTGTGATCTAGTGGTTAGAGCACTGACTGGGAAGTCAGGTCAGCAGTTTTTTGGAGATTCCCAGGCTCAGACTGAGCAGGACATGACTTGTCATACCCGGGTGTACTGTGGAAGAGTTAGGCATTTCAGAAATATGTGCTTTAAGGACTCTGTCTCTTTCATGGACATTTTACTTTAGAAAGTTTTAACTTTATTTTAAAAGATTATTTCCATTTCATTTTTAAAGTTGAGAGGCTATAAAGCTTCTGGCTGAGTTTTCATTTTCCTGGATCGAAAAGAGAGGTGAGTTGGATGTTTAATTCCTGTGGGGATGCTTGAAGTATTACGTAACTGTTCCGAACATTGTTCCTGAAAGCGATTCAGCAGCCTGACCTACCTACAGTGGTGACTCATCCACCTCATTTCTGGGGCGGATGGGGATAGAAGCATATTCTTTTCATAGCCTTCCGAATTATCACTTGCAGTTTCCTTTGTGTTTCAGGGAAGTGCAATGCTGCATGCGAAAGCCCCTGTCACTGTGGTTATGATAACATGATGTCACTGCCAAGCCCTGTCTAGGCCAATTTCCCATCCAGTGGTCAAGCTGCCATCTGTAGGTTCATTGACGTTCTTCAGGGGCAGCTTTTATCAGAGTAAGTTAAGGTTAAACAATTGGCTACAGTGCAAGTGTGACCCAGCATTCCATGTGTGTTAACCACCCTGCCGCATTCCTGATCCGCACAGACTACAGCTCCCAGGCATGGGAGTTGATCCTTTAACTCAAGCTGGTGTGAGCCACACGTTGGCTCTGGCGTTCCGGGGTTCAGTCCCTGGTGACAGCCCTGATGATCATTGTCACACAAAGGAAACGAGGACAGCAACAAGGTCAAATATTGTTTGATGGTTCCCAGTGGTGCAAGTAGAATTCATTTCTTACCAGTACGCTGCACCAGGTAAAGGTGGGCATGTAACCCCCCAGGCAAGTCCTCACATGACCCCGCTCTGCCCCCAGCCCAAGCCCTGCACTCTCTCCCTCCCCTCCCTGTGATCCACCCCACATTACCTGGCGGGGAGGGCTCTGTCTTCCTCCCGGTGTGCCGGAGACTTCTCAACCGCAGGGCTCTCTGGAACCACAGCGGCAAAAGGAGCAGAACGTGGGGCTGCCAGGGGGCCCCATGCCGGCAGCTCCTCCAGTGCAGCTGTGCTGTCCCCTGCCCCGCCCCTAGCCCTTCCACGCAGCTGAGTCTCCTGAGTCCTGTCCAAGGTCTGTACAGCAGCCCTGCTGGAGGACAGGGCCGTGGGGGTTGAGGCTGGGGACGGTACAGCCACGCTGGAGGAGCTGCCGGCATGGGGTTCTGCTCCTTTCGCCGCTGCGGTTCCTGGGAGAGCGGTTCCTGAACCACAGAGCTCTCCTAGGAACCGCAGTGGCGAAAGGGGAAGAATGTCGGGTGGCCCCATGCTAGCAGCTCCTCCGGCAGGGCTGCCTACAGACCCCAGACAGGAGACGCTAGACGCAGCTGTGTGGAAGAGCTGGGGAGGTACACCTGCGCCGGAGGAGCTGCTGGCATGGGGCCGCTGGGTGGCCCTGCGTTCTGCTCCTCCTGTGTCTTTCCGCTGATGGTTGCACCGCTGATGGTTCCCAAATGGGCGATGCTCACTGGGCAACATACCCAGCTATTTGTTTTTCTTTTGCTCCTTTGCCTGGGTGGTGAATGCACGCAAAGAGCATTTGTATTCAGTCAAGCCCTGTCAAAGGAATCATTAATAAATCCAAGAGAAATCTATTTGTCTCTTGTTTGTGTTGTGTTGTAATCCTGGCCTGTGTTTTGGGTTGTTCATTGCAGAGGGCCCAAGCAACTTAATTAGTTTACTGAATGAGGTTTGTGTTTTTGTGTCAGATGCAGAGATAATTGACCTTGGCAGACAGCACTTTTTATGAATTCTGAGTAGGCCCAGCTGAAGTGCAGTGTCCGAGCAGCAACCGTAAACCCTGCTTGGCAGAAGCCTGGGGTTGAGCATTACAGATTTTCTTTAACAGTCAGCATGACTGGGCAGATGTTGATGTTCTGTATTAGCCTTGATTTCTTTCCCTGGCCAGTCTTCATATACTCTAGTGTCCTAGGGCTATGAGGTCGGGTGGGGTTGGGTTGTTCATGGTGCCTGTGGCTCTGCCTTTAAATAAGGGGTATTGATACCTGAGCCAGTCTTGTATAGGATGACAGTGGGTTTTATGTTCATGTGGCACAACTTGCCTAGATCTTCCCTGTGACCTCATTCCATCATTTTAGTAGATACTGCTGTCTGATTTCCATGCCCTCTCCCTCTCTGGGAAGTCAGACAAGTTCACTTGATGATTATCTGTTCTGTTCATTCCCTTTAGGGCAACTGACACTGGCCACTGTCGGAAGACCGGATACTGGGCTAGATGGACCTTTGGTCTGACCCAGGATGGCCATTCTTATATTAACTTAAAGTTCTCTAGGGATTGTTTTAACAATGTAATTTTCTGAGAGTCCATTGGTTTTCCAAGGAAAGGAAACTCTATTCAGTTAAGATGTTACCTAAAATCTCACATCCAGATCATAACAATTGTGTGTATGTGTGTGTGTTTGTGTTTGTGTGAGAGATTAAAGGAACATAGTGAGCCCAGATACAAGATCTTAGCATCTTGCACATAGATAAGCAATCGCTTAGGCAAAACACTTGTAGCTTAAGCTCTTTACACTTCACAGTCAGAGGTATTTCAAAGACTTTCCTATCCAAAAACAAATCTAGCAGAGGGAAAATGGAGAGAGTCACTTAATGTCAGAGGATTATTATTATTTGCCATTA